TATATCCCTAAAATCTCAAGGCTTTTCGACAACGAACCCCAAACCTCTAAAATTTCATAAAAAGCGTGGATATTAACCTTCAATTTTGGCATTGTTTTTTACCTTTTTTCGCCCGAAAATAAAAATTGTCGAAATGTTTACCATGATCCCTATTATTCTTTGGGAGTCAAACTGGATAGGTGAAACCATTCAAGTTGCCTTTAAACTGCCAATTTACCAATTTACAACTCTAACTGATTTCATTAATTCAGGCTTACCACGAACATTTATGACAGCGTATAATGATCATATACGGTTCCCAACGACATTATATGACACCGAAATTTATCCCCTAAAATATAAAGGCTTTTTGACAACGGGCCCACAAACCTCTAAAATTTCTCAAAAAAACGTGGATATTCAATTTTGGAACTTTTTGACATTTTTTCGCACGGAAATAAAAATTTCTAAAATGTTTAATATGGTCCCTAATACCTTATGGGAGTCCAATTGGATAGGTGGAACCATTCAATTTGCCTTTAAATAGCCAATTTATCGATTTATAACTATAACCGATTTCTTTAATTCAAGCCAACCACGAACATTTGTTACAATACATAATGATCATACATGGTTCCAAAAGACATTTTATGACACCGAGATTTATCCCCTAAAATATCAAGGCTTTTCGACTATGGACCCCGAAACCTCTAAAATTTCTCAAAAAACGTGGATATTAAGCCTTCAATTTTGTAATTTTTCGACCTTTTTTCGCTCGGAACAAAAAACTTTAGAAATGTTTACCATGATCCCTAATATTATTTTGGAGTCCAACTGGGTAGGTGAAACCATTCAATTTGCCTTTAAACTGCCAATTTCCCAATTTACAACTCTAACCGATTTCATTAATTCAGGCTTACCACGAACATTTATGACAACGTATAATGATCATATACGGTTCCAAACGACATTATATGACACCGAGATGTATCCGCTTAAATCTAAAGGCTTTTGACAACGGACCCCAAAACCTCTAAAATTTCTCAAAAAACGTGGATATTAGCCTTCAATTTTGGAGTTTTTTGACCTTTTTTCGCCCGGAAATAAAAATTTCTAAAATGTTAAAAATGGTCCCTAATACCTTCTAGGAGTCCAATTGGGTAGGTGGAACCATTCAATTTGCCTTTAAACGGCCAATTTACCAATTTACAACTCTAACCGATTTCATTAATTCAAGCCAACCACGAACATTTGTGACAATATATAATGATCATATATGGTTCCAAACGATATTATATGACACCGAGATGTATCCCCTAAAATCTCAAGGCTTTTCGACAACGGACCTTGAAACCTCTAAAATTTCTCAAAAAACGTGGATATTAGTCTTCAATTTTGGAATTTTTTTACCTTTTTTCGCCCGGAAATAAAAATTGTCGAAATGTTTACCATGATCCCTAATATTCTTTGGGAGTCAAACTGGGTAGGGGAAACCATTCACGTTGCCTTTAAACTGCCAATTTACCAATTTACAACACTAACCGATTTCATTAATTCAGGCTTACCACGAACATTCATGACAACGTATAATGATCATATACGGTTCCAAACGACATTATATGACACCGAGATGTATCCGCTAAAATCTAAAGGCTTTTGACAACGGACCCCAAAACCTCTAAAATTTCTCAAAAAAAATGGATATTAGCCTTCAATTTTGGAATTTTTGATCTTTTTCGCCCGAAAATAAAAAATTGCCAAAATGTTTAACATGGTCCCTAATACCTTCTGGGAGTCCAATTGGGTAGGTGGAACCATTCAATTTGTCTTTAAACGGACTACCGATTTATAACTCTAACTTATTTCATTAATTCAAGCCAACCACGAACATTTGTGACAATATATAATGATCATATATGGTTCCAAACGACATTATTTGACACCTTTATGTATCCCCTAAAATCTCAAGACTTTTCGACAACGGACCCCGAAACCTCTAAAATTTCTCAAAAAGCGTGGATATTAGCCTTCAATTTTGGAATTTTTTGACCTTTTTTCGCCCGGAAATAAAAATTGTCGAAATGTTTACCATGATCCCTAATATTCTTTGGGAGTCCAATTGGGTAGGTGAAACCATTCAAGTTGCCTTTAAACTGCCAATTTACCAATTTACAACTCTAACTTATTTCATTAATTCAAGCCAACCACGAACAATTATGACAACGTATAATGATTATATACGGTTCCAAACGACATTATATAACACCGAGATGTATCCCCTAAAATCTAAAGGATTTTTGGCAACAGACCCCCAAACCTCTAAAATTTCTCAAAAAAAAAATGGATATTACCCTTCAATTTTGGAACTTTTTGACCTTTTTTCGCCCGAAAATAAAAATTTCCAAATTATTTAACATGGTCCCTAATACCTTCTGGGAGTCCAATTGGGTACGTGAAACCATTTAATTTGCCTTTAAACGGCCAATTTACCGATTTATAACTCTAACTAATTTTGTTAATTCAAGCCAACCACTAACATTTGTGACAATATATAATGATCATATATGGTTCCAAAAGACATTATATGACACCTAGATGTATCCCCTAAAATCTCAAGGCTTTTCGACATTGAACCCGAAACCTCTAAAATTTCTCAAAAAGTGTGGATATTAGCCTTCAATTTTGGAATTTTTTACCTTTTTTCATGCGGAAATAAAAATTGTCGAAATGTTTACCATGATTCCTAATATTCTTTAGGAGTCAAACTGGGTAGGTAAAACCATTCAAGTTGCGTTTAAACTTCCAATTTACCAATTTACATCTCTAACCGATTTCATTAATTCAGGCTTAACACGAAAATTTATGACAACGTATAATGATCATATACAATTCCAAACGACATTATATGACACCGAAATGTATCACCTAAAATCTAAAGGCTTTTTGACAACGGGCCCCAAAACCTCTAAAATTTCTCAAAAAACGTGGATATTAGCCTTCAATTTTGGAATTTTTTGACCTTTTTTCGCCCGAAAATAAAAATTGCCAAAATGTTTAACATGGTCCCTAATACCTTCTGGGAGTCCAGTTTGGGTAGGTGGAACCATTCAATTTGCCTTTAAACAGCCAATTTATTGATTTATACAACTATAGCCGATTTCATTAATTCAAGCCAACCACGAACATTTGTTACAATACATAATGATCATATATGGCTCCAAAAGACATTATATGACACCGAGATGTATCCCCTAAAATCTCAAGGATTTTCGACAACGGACCCCGAAACCTCTAAAATTTCTCAAAAAACGTGGATATTAGTGTAGGGAATAATTTCAAGCCTTAAATCCCACTAGCTCGAACCCCACTGTGATCATACACTAAAGTACGGTGGCGTCCAAAAGGGAAGAAGATAGAGCAAAAGAGTCTCCAACTAGTTTTTAAGGAAATTGTAAACCGTTCACGAGGTGAAGGTTACACCCCTTAATGATCCAAGAGATCGTCAACTCCATAAGGTCATGAACCAACTAAGGGTTCGGGGATGAAGGTACAAATCCAACCTAAAAGTGGTTGAACCTGCCCTAATAATAGGCCTCTACTTAACATGCAATCAATAGGATTAACCCTAAACCTGTTTAATCTATGTTGGTTGAATATAATGTACAAATAAACTATTATTGGCGATCACTTGAATTTATAATCATATTAACCCTAAACAAGATTATTAATTATGTTATTAAGCATGATTACAAGTACCAATTCCCTTTTAACATGCAATAAAAGGCGTGATCAAGCAATAAAAAATATCGTATCAAGCAACATAATAAATAACCATAACAATAATTATAATCGTTATCAAAATAATAATAATAATAATAATAATAATAATAATCATCATCATAAATTATAACAATTAAAATCATAATCATGCTCATGTTAATATTAAAGCTTAATAATAACAAGATCCTAGGCATGATACTAACAAGATTAATAACAAACCCTAGCATGTCACTAAGCAATAAAAATCAAATCTTTAACCCTAACATGATACTAACAATCATAAATATTAGGAAGAACATAGGAAGCATCATAGAAATCATATTTAATATTAAAATTACCCTAGACATGATACTAGGAATATCATAATAACAATATAAACATGATTCTACATCATAATATCAATTAATCAATTAAAGTACTTACTTTGATGCCTCATACCTCTTTCTAATAACAAAATACACACGTTAGTAACTTCAAGGAAAATAATAATCAAAACAATTAAATTAAATAATTGAAAGAGAGATTTGGGACCAAACCCTCAGAAATTAAACCTTTCACGTCTAGGGCAAAGGCAACTTCGAATATGGCTAGGTGTTTCTAGATCTTGTGAATGCGGAATTTTGTATGAAAACAAAGTAAGAAAGAATTGAAAGAAAGAATGCTAAAGAATTAATGATCGTTGATGAAAGCTAATTAAAACTAATTGTTGATGAGAATTCGTCCATGAAAACGGAGTTTTTGATACGATATTTATAGAGAAAATTAGCCAAAAAAGATAATTTAACAAAATAGAGTCTGACGCTCAGGAAACAAGGTTGGCGCCAACCCTGGCTAGCTGGCGCTAGGCACCAGTGGCTAGCACCAGGCGCCAATGGCTAGTGCCTGGCGTCAAGCCTGGTTCCAGGCGCCAAGGCTTGGGGTTGGACGCCAGTCTTGATTTTAACACGTTTTCGAAAATCCGATAAGTTTACCGTACTGGAGGATAAAATAATATAATTTCTTCGAAAATGCTATTTGATTTTGATTAAAACACTGAAAAGTCAACAAAGTCAACTTATCAATGCTAATTGAATTAGGAATGAAAAGAACCTTCTAGAAGATTCTAGAAGACTAAAACCATTCCTCATTGCATTAGGAATAATAAATCATATTAGGCCCTCCCCAAGATCATTCGGTCGTACATAAAGCTCAAACCGGGTCCAGTTTGGTAATTTGGCCATAAACTACTCCCTTTCTTAATTCGTTGCCTTAGAGACATGATCCTGAATAATGTGGTAATTAGACACATAAATTTACAAACAATTTATTCATCTACCAGCTAAGACTCAGAATTGTGATTACTGTTCACAAGATACTAAACGTTTAATCAAATTGACTGGTAAGTTTAAATTGCCATTTAAAAGCAACTCTAGATAGCATCTCAAAATAAACCATCACAAGATTTTATCATAATTTGCATGCAATTATGACACACAAATTCACATAAGAGTGCAATTCACCTTCCAATCCTTTTCCAATTTAGGAATAATTATCAAATAATAATCCATAAACCTTCATTAATATACCTTGGGATATAAAATTCCCAAAAGACTACCAATCTCAATGCAATTCGAATTTTAATTCGAACCTTTGTATTCTAAAATATAATTTGGACGTTTGCATAGTCCATATGCACATAATTCACGTAAAGTTTGAAATTACTTTTTGAATACGTTTCAAATTCTTTTAATTTCGAAAATATTACATATAGTTGTAAGTTGAATACTAGATTCATAATGTGGATTAATTGGACCAATGAGATCCTAGGTAGGAGAGGTTAGGGTCGACGTTGCCCTGAGCCCAAGTCCTGCCTTAGCCAGAGTTCATTGTCAATCCAATAATCCCCACTATTAATCTTTCTTCGTATTAAAATAGAAAGTAGTTTTTATTTAAATATATACTTTCGGAAAAACAAATGCGAAACTCTATCCTATATGCCCTTCTTAGGTCTACCCATCAGTTTTATATACCCTTCTTAGGTCTATCCTATATGCTCTGATACCACTTTGTAACACCCCCAAATTACTCTCTAATATTAACAATAATAATCCAACTTTAGGGAGTAACATGGGAGTATTACCGCCACGTGATTACGTAAGGCTTAACAGAGTTTTGCAGCGAAAAATAGTACTTAAATTTCATTAATGATAATAATAGTTTGATACATTTTCAAAATAACTACACCACTAATATTATGTCTACTAGATTAAACTAGGTGATCACCGCCCATCATTCCCCATGCAGCATATAGTTCACGTTGTTCGGTCGCCATCACCTTTCTACTTATCAAAATGATAAGTAGGGCCAAGCCAAAACAAAACAAATACGTATTAGCCAAAATGCTAAGTACATACAAATGCTAGACATGTAAAATCAATTTAATTAATTAAACGTGCTTTCGAAAAGATTTAACTTTATTAAATCATAATTTATCCAAACCATTCCTGAATATAAATTCACGTATAAAAGCTTGTCAAAAGAACCAATTTCCGAAATAACTAACTTTCCAAAAATAATTCCAAATAGGATGGATCAGTCCATATTTTCAAAAATCATTTTACCACCTAAGTGTGTACACCCCCCAAGCTAGTAACTCCTTTACATAGTGCTATCAAGGGGAAAGACTAGGTCATACAAAGTCCATAGTATTCAACTTACTCCGCACAGTGGGAGTTAAAAATCTAAAGATCCAAGGAATAAATCCTGATAAATAAACTTCCCAATATCCCATACTCGGGATAATTTAAACAACAAAACTTCCTTCTTGAATATCAATACAAGTTTATAATCAACCATATAAAATATTCAAACATTTGAGATTAAGCGATTAAAACATGCTTCACTGAAATTTATATCATAATCATTTAAACATGGTTCGAAATCACTTAACATATAAATCATGTTGCATATAAAAGTCACTTTATAAAAGATCTAGCCACGTGTACGTACCTTGATCTTTGCAAAACAAACACGGGGTTCCTAGTTACGAACCGGAAATACCTCCTACAACAAACCAATAATCCTAATCAAATACTTTTCAACCCAAAGATACAAGGACTTAGACTATCGACTTTGACTAGTTGTGCATGAACAACTTATAATTATAACTCTTTTATAAAATTAACACTTGTATTTATAAAATAATCTTTAATAATTCATAATAATAATAATAATAATAATAATAATAATAAGGTAGTATTAATGCTACGTAAGTAGTAGTAGTACATGTGAGTAGTAGTAGTAGTCATATTAATAACAATGATAATGATAGTAATAATAATAATAATAATAATAATAATAATAATAATAATAATAATAATAATAATATAGGAAGTAGTAGTAATACGTAGATGTAGTTGTAGTAGTAGTACTACTAGTGCTTAGTAGTAGTAGTTGTAGTAGTAGTAGAAGTTGAGAGTAATAGTAGTAGTAGTATTACTAGTACTTAGTAGTAGTACTAAAATGAGAAATATATGGCTTACTTACGGTTCAACGCAAGGAAGGAGGTGGCGGCAAGGTGGTGTCCAAATGGTGGTAATAGGGTGGCGGCGAGGAGGTGCTCGTGAGGAGCTCAAGACTACAAAATGAAAGCTTAAAAACGAGGTGAAAATGGAGGAGGAAGGAGAAAGGAGAAGGAAAGTAAGAAGAGAAGTAGGAGGTGTGATGGAATAGCTCATGTTTTCATGGCTATATATAGCCCCAACTCAGGCACTATTCCAACCGATTTCATAAATGCTGCCAACCCAATTAATGCGGCTAACCTAATAAATGCTGCTGGCCTAATAAATGCAGCTGACCCAATAAATGCTGCTGACCCAATAAATGCTGCCGGCCTAATAAATGCAGCTGACCCAATAAATGTTGCTGACCCAATAAATGTTGTCGGCCTAATAAATGTTGTGGATATGAGTAGTAAGGGTTGACCTTGATTACGGGAGGAGGGATAGTTTGGTACTTGGTAGTTTGACTCAAGTAAAATATTGAAGGCTGAAATTCCGACAACTTTGAGTCGACTCATATAATTACAATGCGTAACAAAATTATATTTTTGTAAAATCATGTATGGACTTAAATAAATATTTTTTTGTATAATAAAATATTTCGGAAAAATCCATAATTAATAATTAGTAAATGGCTTAAAAATACGGGGCATTACATTCGACACCAGTCCTCGAAACCTTAGAAAATTCTGAAAAAGCATGGATCTTAGCCTACAATTTTGGATTTTTTTTTTCTTTTTTCCTCCCGTAAAATAAAAATTGCCGAAATGTTTAACGTGGTCCCTAATAACCTCCGAGAGTCCAATTGGTTGGGTGTAACCATCTAATTTGCCTTTAAACGACCAATTTATTGGTTAATGATTGCATCGATATTATTAAATCTAGCCTATCACGAATATTTATGACAACGTATAATGATCATATATGGTTTCAAACAGAATCATATGACCCCAAGATGTATCCCCTAAAATACCAAGTCTTTTCAACATCGGGCCCTGAAACCAACAAAATTTGTCAAAAAGAGTGGATATTAGCATTCAATTTTGGAATTTTTTGACTTTTTTTTGCCCGGAAATAAAAATTGCCGAAATGTTTACCATCATTAACTCAAGCCTACCACGAATATTAATGACAACATATAATGATCATTTATGGTTCCACACGGCATTATATAACCCCCTAATGTCCCCTAAAATCTCTTTTTTTTCGACATCGGGCCCTGAAACTTTCGAAATTTATCAAAAAGCGTGGATATTAGCCTTTAATTTTGGAATTTTTTTACTTTTTTCGCCTGAAAATAAAAATTGCTGAAATGTTTACCGTGGTCTTTAATATCCTCTGGGAGTCCAATTAGGTGGGTAGAACCATTCAATTTGTCTTTAAACGACCAATTTACTTGTTTACAACTTGCACCGACTTCATTAACTCAAGCATGTCACGAACATTTATGACAATAAATAATGATCATATATGGTTCCAAACAATATTATATGACCCGCGATGTATTCCCTAGAATTTCTAGACTTTTAGACACCAGTCCCCGAATACTCCAAAATTTCTCAAAAACGTGGATATTAGCCTTCAATTTTTGAATTTTTCGACTTTTTTTCGCCCAAAAATAAAAATTGCCGAAATGTTTACCGTAGTCCCTAATACCCTCCAGGAGTTCAATTGGGTGGGTGAAACTATCCAATTTTCCTTTAAATGACCAATTTACCGGTTTACAACTTCCATTGATTTCATTAAATCAAGTCTATCAGAAACATTTATGACAATATAAAATGATCATATTTGGTTCTAAACGGAAATATAGGACCTCGATGTATCCCCTAAAATTTCAACACTTTTCGACAACAGACCTCGAAACCTCTAAAATTTATCAAAATGCGTGGATATTAGATTTCAATTTTTGAATTTTTTGACTTATTTTCACCCGTAGTAAAATTTGTCGTAATGTTTAAAATGGTCCCTAATACCCTCTGGGAGTCCACGTGGCTGGTGCAACCATCAAATTTGTCTTTAAACAGCCGTTTTACCGGTTTACAACTTGCACCGATTTCATCAACTCGAGTTTACCATGAACATGTATGACAACAAATAATGATCATATATGGATCCAAATGACATTATATAATCCCGAAATGTGTTCCCTAAAATTTCAAGACTTTTCGACACCGGGGCCCCGAAACCTCTAAAATTTCTCAAAAATCGTGGATAATTAGTCTTCAATTTCGGAATTTTTTAACTTTTTTTGTCCGAAAATAAAAATTGCCGATATGTTTACCATGGTCACTAATACCCTCTGGGAATCCAATTGGGTGGGTGGAACCATCCAATTTGCCTTTAAACGACCAATTTATCGATTTACAACTTGCATCGATTTCATTAACTCAAGCCTACCACGAACATTATTTATGACAACATATAATGATCAAATATGACTCCAAATGAAATTATATGATCCCGAGATGTATTCCCTAAAATCTCAAGGCTTTTCGACACCGTGTCTCGAAACCTCAAAAATTTCTCAAAAAGCGTAGATACTTCGATTTTGGAATTTTTTTACTTGTTTTTGCCTGGAAATAAAAATCGCCGAAATTTTTACCATGGTCCCTTATACCCTCTGTTAGTCCAATTGGGTGGGTGTATCCGTCCAATTTTCCTTTAAACGGCCAATTTACCAGTTTACAACTTGCACCGATTTCATTAAATCAGGCCTACCACGAACATTTTTGACAACATATAATGATCATAAATAGTTCCAAACGGCATTATATGACCCTGAGATGTGTCCCCTAAAATATCAAGGCTTTTTGACATCGAGCCTCGAAACCTCTAAAAATTTTCAATTTAGCATTTAATTTTGGATTTTTTTTACTTGTTATCGTCCGAAAATTAAAAATTGCCGAAATTTTTACCATGGTCACTAATATCCTCCGGGAGTCCAATTGGGTGGGTGGACCCATCCAATTTGCCTTTAAACGGCCAATTTACTTGTTTACAACTTGCACCGATTTCATTAACTCAAGCTTACCACGAACATCTATGACAACTAGGGGTGTACAAAAATTGGCCCGGACCTGAAACCGGACCTGAACCGACCTGAACCGGACCGGACCTGACCCGGACCTGTTGATTCAGGTCCGGTCCCGGTTCTTAAAAATCCAGGTTCCCGGTCCCGGTCCGGTCCCGGTCCAAACCCGGGGTTTTCAGGTCCGGACCTGAAACCCGGGAAATCGTAATTAAAAAAAAAAATAAAAAAAAAAAAAAAAAAAAACAAGAAAATATCTGATTCTCTGCCTCCCTCAATCTCTTTCATATTTTGAAGTTCTAACCCTAACTCCCTAAGCCCAAACTCTCAGCCTCCCTCAATCTCAACTTCTCAACGCGGCTGTCCGGCTGTCCCAACTCGCTCCAGCCACCGCCCACTGCCGACACCTCCCTCATTCTCTCAGGCGATGCACACCGATAATATCTGGTAAGTATTTGCTTATAATTTTGGTATTTTTAATTCGAAATAATAAATTAAGTGTGAGAATTTATATGTTTATTCTTGTTTCAAATTTTCAATTGCTTTTAATGATTGTTTGATGTTTGCATGTTGAATTTCTTATTTTTAGTTCATCTCTTTCGAATTTCTGTTTTTTTTTTTTGGTTTTTTTGAGTTTAGGGTTCATAAGAATTAAGAAGTTTAGGGTTTAGGGTTCAAGTGCGAAATTTAGTTCGAAATTTTGTGTTTATTATGATTATTAAGATTAATTTAGTGCGAAAATTTGTGTGGTAGGGTGGGTTGGGGTGGGGTTATGGTGGGGTTACGGTGGTACGGTTCTGGTGTGTGGGGGTTAAGGGTTAAGGGGTGGCAGTGGGGTGGGGTGGGGTGGGTTGGGGTGGTGAGCTGGGGTTTTTGGGATGGCTAGATGGAAAATTGTGAATGTTGATGGGGTTGTCGGGAGTGGAGATGGGGTTTTCGTGGTGGCTGGTAGGGTCACCGAGAGTGGAGATGGGTTTTCGGGGTGGCTGGGTGGTGTTTTGGATTGGAGGGGGTTTTGGAGTGGTTGAGTGAGAACATAGCAGACCCAACCACTCCGGAATCATACCATCACCCCAATTCAACTCGGTTTATTGAGGAGAACATAGGAGCCTTAAATGAGGAAAATAGGGGGGCTGCTACTGCCTTTACTATACACTCAAGGGCTGCTATTCCTCTAGGAGATCCTTATGCCCCCTTTACTGCAATTCGAACACAATCTCAAGTAGGGGGTGGATTCAGAATGTCTGTTGCGCTCGAGGACAACCTTTTCTCAGACTCTTCAAGTTCTAGTGCCTCCCTGCATCGTGCAAGTAGCTCTACTGCCGACTCCTCAAATTCAGAAAATCAGCAGCTCGTGTCTCCAACTGTCCAGCTACCTATTGTGGGGTGGATTCCATGGTTGGAGTGTCAGGGAAGGCGGCTAGGGGTGGGGCTGCCAATGAAGCTGGTTGTGTTGTGTTGTGTGGGCAGTGGTGGATCTGGGTATTGACATAAATTTCAGAAAGTTGGTTGTGTTGTGTTGTGTTGTGTTGTGTGGGCAATGCCTCTCTCATTTTTTTCTTAACATAAATTTCAGAAAGTTGAAAGTATTTCTAATGTGTATTGATATTTCTAATGTGTATATATGGACACTTTTTAAGCTAACTTATACTTTAAAATTTGTGTTTATTCCTGCTAGGCTGCTAAAAGTATGGACTCAGATTATTAAGATTAAATAAGTTGGCTAACCTGTGTGTAGTTCAGGGGTTCTTATTTTTGTTTTTATTCTTGCAGGGAGTGAAGGAAGTCAAGGAACCACGGATTCTTATTCTTGCAATGTAAGTTGCTCTTAAATTTTTTTATAAAATGGTATGTGTATATAATTGTTACTTTAAAATTACTTATATTGTATATAATTATATTGTAGATGGAGAGCTCTCAATCCAAACGGTCTGCTTCTTTTTCTGAACAAACGTCACAGCCACTTTCTGAAAAGGATATGGAAGAATTGCAATCTACTTTGCCTCCTGATAAGAAGCTAAAAGCGGGGCGGGAATATATATGGAACAGAAAAAGTAAGAGGAAAGCTGAGTATTGGAAATATTACTTAGAGTACGTCGAGAATGGAAAACTACGAGCTGAATGTAAGTTCTGTCCTAAAACTTTTGCTGCTGATGGTAATCTTAATGGTTCAAAAAATGTTAAAAACCATGCAGAATCATGTCTCGGTAATCCTATTAATATAGAAAAAGAAAAGGGCAAAGAAAAGCAAACTAAATTGTATTTTGATCAAGAACATGAGAGTAGTGAATTAAAGTGTGGGAGTAGGATTATTAACTTGAATGATGTTAGAGAGGCATTGATTCACATGATTATTGTTGATGAGTTACCATTTAAGCATGTGGAAAAACCCGGTTTTAGGCACTTTGTGCAAGTTGCATGTCCACAATTTCACATTCCATCTCGTGTTACCATTGCTCGTGATTGTTTAAAGTTGTATTATAGTGAAAAAGAGAAATTGAGAGAAATGTTTAAGACATGTCAAAGAATTTCTGTGACCACTGATACTTGGACTTCAATACAAAGAATTAATTATATGTGTCTTACAGCTCATTTCATTGATAATGACTGGAAATTGAATAAAAAGATCATAAATTTTTGTCCAATTTCTAGTCATAAAGGAGAGGCTATTGGAAAAGCAGTTGAGGCATGTTTAGAGTATTGGGGTATTGATGATAAACTTTTTACTGTCACTGTTGATAATGCTTCTTCAAATGATGTTGCTTGTGCACACTTGAGTAGAATGGTTAGAAGAACAGGATGTATAAATGATGGAAAACATCTTCATGTTAGATGCATTGCTCATATCATTAATTTAATTGTGTGGGATGGTATTAGAGAACATGGTGTGTGCATTGATAGAGTTAGAAATGCTGTGAAATATGTTAAGAATTCCCCTGCAAGAATACTTAGATTCAAAGATCTTGTGCAAAAAGCAAACATAGATTCAAAATCTTCTTTATCCTTTGATGTCCCCACTCGTTGGAACTCCACATACATAATGTTGGAAACGGCTTTGAAGTTTCGACGTGTTTTTAGTGGGTTATCTCTTCCTGATGGAGAGGATTTGAATGACAATGAAAGGCCTCCCGAACCCGAAGATTGGGAAAAAGTGGAGAGGTTGGTTTTGTTTCTAGGGGGTTTTATCTGTTAACTAAACGAATTTCTGGTTCCCATTATGTGACAGCTAATAAAGGTTTAGGAGAAATTGCTTCTATGTATGATATGTTGAATAATTGGGAACAAAGTGAGGACTTGAATTTTCAAGCCATGGCCATTGCAATGAAAAAAAAGTTTGATAAGTATTGGGGGATATGGATAAGATGAATAAGTTCATTTATGTTGCTCTTCTTCTCGACCCTCACTCTAAGATGGTCATTGTTGAATTGACACTAACGGATATGCATGGACCGGAAAAGGGTACAAAACTTGCTAATGATGTGAAGGAGTTCGCTTACTCTTTATTTGAGGAATATAGAAAAATGTATGCTACTTCTAATATTCCAGATTGTGGAGATAATATGTCAATGGATATTGATAATAGTAAAGGAGTGGGTTCCGATTATGTGAGGAAACTAAAAGAAAGAACAAAACGGTTGAAGGGGACAAGTGGGTATGCGATAAGTGAGTTGGATAGGTACTTAAATGATCAATTAGGGCCGGAGGAGGAAGAACAAGATGCATTGACATGGTGGGGTAAGAATGGTAAGCGTTATGTGATTCTTAATCGCATGGCACGTGACATACTAGCCATCCCATTGTCGACCGTTGCATCGGAATCTGCTTTTAGTACGGGAGGTCGTACTCTAGATCCATTTCGGAGTTCTTTAACTCCTAAGGTAATGCATCGTTATCTTTTTATTTTATAAAATCAAGTTTGTTTATATCTTAATATGACTTTGTTTATACATATTTGTGTAATATTTTTGTATTGAAGATGGTTCAAGCGTTACTTTGCACACAAGATTGGCTTAGAGCTAAGGAAGTGCCAATTGTTGATGTGGAAGAAAATTTGAAAGAGTTAGAGGAAATAGAGAAAGGTAGTAATAATTTTATGTATTTGAAATTTTGTTACACCAAATTTATTATTTCATTGTTATCAATCATTAATATATTCTATATTGTATTTTATTTAGAGGTGCAACGTGGTGAATCTAACGATGTAGACGATGAAGTTGTTTTCGTGGACTCATTAGTGTGAATCACGCGATCAAAGGGAAAACAACTCGTTGGAGAATTTATGTATTCCTAGTACTTGAGAGTTGAGAGTTGAGACTTAAGAAAATTTATGTAATTTTATGAGTTTTCGTGGACTTATTTGTATTTTCGGTGGACTCATTTGTATTTTTGGTGTTTGAGAATCGGGACTTTATAGACTTTATGTAGTTTTGTAATTGATAATTTTGGTTTGTATGTAATTATTAAATTATGCAACAGGTCTAAAAATCACAAAACAGGTCCATATGCAGGTCCAACAGGTTTTGTATTAAAAAAAAAAACGAAAAAAGACACAAAACAGGTCCATTCAGGTCCAAACCCGGACCGGACCTGATTTTTCAGGTCTGGCCCGGAACCGGACCTGTTAATTCAGGTCCGGTCCCCGGTCCTCATAATTACCCAATTCAGGTCCCCGGTCCAAACAGGTCCGGTCCAGGTCCGGTCCGGTTTTGGACCGGTGTACACCCCTAATGACAACATATCATTTAATCTTTTATTAAAGGTAGCAATAAAGATTAAATTAACAATTATTTCAAAATGGGTGAACCACATAACATGAAAGTCTAAAATATCTAATTCCATTAGATCATAGCATAGTACATTAGTATTATGGTATCCCACTGTTGAATAAGTGATTCAGGAGTAACTTTCGAGTTCATAGTTGGCCCGACAAAGGCTATGTATACATAGTCTTAAGCTTGCTTGTAGTTGTAGCATTTCAAGAATATGTCAATTACTATTGAAGTTGGTAGGTTGTCAATTCTAAAATTTTATTGATTATTGACACTTAATGTAGATTGTTTCGCTGGATTTAACATTTCTACAACATATGCTAAAAGAGTAGCAAAGTTACAAATAAATACAACTTATTTAGCATATACGTACATCGGTACATTAGATGGAGAACAAGCAAGATATCACGTAGTTGGCAAAGGATTCATTTCGTAACCTTGCCACGAAATTGTATTATTCAATTGTCAAGGATACATACCCCCCTTCCTCTCCTCCTCCGATCCCCTCCTCCCGGCTTCAACCTTATCAGTGTCTTACTTGGAAAATTGGACTAAAAAATTGCAAGGGTTGAGTTTAAATTAGGGTTCTACTTGCCTGAACCAAAAGAAAAAACAACCAAAAGATGATAGTTGAATTCTAGTTATCACAAACTTTTTATTAAATCGGGTGTTCACTATTTTAGTGAAAATCGAAAGGAAGCGTGAGTTTGGTGGCCCAATTTTGACAAGTAAAAAATGAAATCTTATTTTCTCTCTCCTCTTTATTCTATAGATTCTCTTTCTTCTTCAATCTTCTTTTTCTTTGTTTTTTCTGTCTCCTCTAGTTCTCATCTTCTTTTGTTTTTTCCCTCTCCTCTACTTCTCATCTTCTTTTGTTTTTCTCTCTCCTCTGGTGATAATCGATCATGTTGATGTTTCTGCTCTAGGTTAGTATTTGTACTTTTTTTTTTTGTAAATTTTTCGTCAATTTGTTTGGTGAGATGGTCGGAAATGGTAGAATCAACAATGGTTTCAACGCGATCGGTGTCGTTAACGGTGGTTCTGGCGGTGACTTTTGATTTGTTTGAGTGATTGTATAGTTTTTTCATGACTATTGTTAATTTTTGTGTTTGTTTCGTTAATTTTGATTCTTTGTTTTGCATATGTAGTTTAATTACTTTTATGAAAAAAAGTCACTTTTATGAAAAAAAAAAAGGTAACTTTTGTGGAAAAAAAGGGTAACTTTTGTGAAAAAAACAAAATCACTTTTGTGAAAAAAGGGTTATTTTATGTAAAAAAAAAGGGGTCACTTTTGTGAAAAAAAAAAGGTCACTTTTGTGAAAATATGAAGTACTTCTGTGAAGAAAAAGGGTCACTTTTGTACAAAAAAAGGGTCACTTTTCGCAAAATGTTCGATGTACAATAAAATTATTGTAAACCGGGGGCATACAAAAGTTTTTGTCTAGTTATTTAGTTTTATACAAATCATACTTATCTACTCCATAAATCTCCTCTAATCTAAGCCCACTAGCATATTACAAATACTCCGTAGTTGGCTTACTCACTAAATACACTTAGAACTACATCCCCACTACTTATTTGGGTTGAAGTCCGAGTACGGAGTGATTACTAACCCTAATTTATTTAGTCCTTAGATAGTTATGCTATTGGGCACCCCCCTACAAGTAACCCCTGGCTCCGAGCTAGGAGCCATAAGCTCGTAAGGGATTACCCCAGCACCACACCTGTTCCTAAGGCTAGGATCCGCGTTCCTCCTATCAATCTCTTTCTCAATCCTTCGCATCTCTGAAGAGAACTCGAAGAACTTTTCAACAATCACAGGGTCCCCTGTCCATGTTGAGGGCTGTGCTCGCTCCCCAAGGTACTCCTCGTCAGGGGAGTGGGTGGAAAGGGTGTCAATCACAGCGATAAACTTGCTTGTCTGTAGGACACTGGGAAGTGCAGAGAGGTAGAATCTCTGGGGGTCTGATATAAAGCTTGCATACTCAGGATCATTCTCATCAGGGATCAAACGACGCATCAGAACAGGCCGGTTTGGGATGTACCCTCCATAAGGGTACTGCCCGAAGTTCAGAGCAGCATGCTGGGCTGAGCCTAACCACACCAACGTCGTGATGATTCTCACAAGGTCATCTGTATTGTTCAACTCTGGCCACCAGCTTGCATCACTCACATCAGCATGACCGACATTGACAGCCTCATAATACCAAGCCTGAAGCTCCCTATCATCAGCCACTAGGCTTGGATCCTTGTAGTAATGGCACACATAATCTCGAACCCAGTTTTCAATGGCATCCCAAATTAGTAACCCATCAGCAGCATACGGATAGTCCTTGATTAGAAGCCTCAGTCCGTGGGGCTGTGTGCTGTCTGGTACTGCAATTCCTCTGAGAATTACCATTGTAATGGAAAAAAGATGTTAGACACATAACAATGCTTCAGTTGGAGAATTAGGAGTTTTCATAACATATAAGTATATATTTTACCTTCGGACAAGTTCAAAAGGGAGGCCTTCCAAATCAAAGCGCCAATTCTGATAGGCAGCTGCACTCATCTCCATGCTATAGCGCCCAGGGGAGAAAGAAGACTCGATAACACCATCCCCGTTGATCAAGCTTTGCCTAGCTAGAGCATTAATATGCAATGTGTATCTCATATGAGGCTCCAAGAGCTTGTAAATAGGATGCATACAGCTCAATTGCCTGTGGGCTGATATGATGAATGGTTCCAGTGATGCATGTGTTCGCAGCCTAAAATTTCATATTAAATCAAAGTTAATCAATAAATAATCTTGACATTTTGTCAACCAATTAACTTTTTCATCGAGAAAATTGGTTGTTTAAGAGTTCCTTACCAGTGATGAACGAGTTGGTGTACGCCTGCATCATTGGAACATACATGAGCCTTGGCAAGCTGCCAAATCCAGTTACTGGTGGCATCCTCGGGAGGACTCACCACCCTTTTCGACTTTGAATTAGGTCCAGATGGTGGCGAACTTAGTTCAATAGCAATTGGCTTAAGAGTTCCAAGTGAGGTCAAGAAGAACACAGTTCTAGTAGCATAAGCTTTCCGGCCATCCAGAGCATTCAGTCGCTCCAGAAATGGCAAGTACGTGTCATGGTAGTCCACGATAAACAATCTGTTTCCATCCAAAGCCTGAGAAGACATGACCAAGTTTCACAGCATAAGCAACTGAACATAAAAAAAATTTGCTAGACATGGTAAAACCGTTATATCATACCTCTTGCACTGACATTCCATCTAAGTAACCGACAATGTGCTCTTCTGTCAGGGCAGATTCTACAGGACCATAAGTTTCTGGGTCAAGATTACTAACTGGTGGAAAGGACTGCATCCTCCGGATACTAGCAGGGTTGACACCAGCTAAAAATTGTCGAGCAAATTCATCATCTCGCATCCAGGCCAATTTATCCTCTGGAAATCAACCAAGCATTACATTAGCAAAATTATACACACTATAAATAATACGAGTAGAGTGAAAGACAATTGTAGGTGTGACTTACTAGATACTATGCTTGGGGTGTCGAACTTAATTAAGCCCTGGCTCGTGGCCTGGATTTTGTGAACAACTTGGGGCAATTTCTTAACAAGTTCATCATGCAAACCAAGGTTATTAAGAAGCAAGCCTTCGCTGAAGAGGCTGTCAAGGTGCTTGAACCCAGTGAAATCGTGCTTTGAAGAGATGTTGGTCGTCAGAGATGGTAGCAAGTTGTGAAGAACTGCTTTAAGCCTGCAGAAAGAGAATGTTCCTGCCTTTGATTCCTCGAATTGTTCGTCCCTAGGAACATATATTGGTAATGGCTTCTCCACACGGCTCTCATATTTTATATCTAGGTAACATTAGAGAAAAAACCACATTTAGTGCCTTATCCATCATAAATCTAAACTTTACAAGCTATATTTCAGGTCTCATTTAATTTCAATCATGTTATTTTGATTAAATTAAAAAGTTTCAATGATTGAGGTTTTAAACTAAACTACTACTAAATGCATAAGGCTAGAGAACAATACTAACCAGTTTCCATAGGAGGTCTGCCAGTACGACACCGTCTAGGGTATGGAATCTTTTCGCCACCAAGTATTGGGCGGGCAAATTCACCTCCTTTATCTGGGTTCCCCAAGTCATTATATATATCATAGTCATAAATCCTGTCTGACATTTTTCTTTCTCCTTTGCCATTACCCCTTAATTCTTTCAGTTCCTTCTCCCTTAGAGCTCTGAGTCCTGCTGGTGTCTCATGTGGTAAATAAGGCTGCAGCCACCAAAAATATAAAATCGACCATATGTTAGTATCGGGACTAACAATTCCATAAGAATTAAAAACATCCAATGTCATGACAAAATCACGTGTCAATCGTTATTATTAATGCTAAATCAACATCTATCTAATAATGTAAATTTTTCTACATTTACGTTAATTATAAGTTACCTTTAAAACTGCATATATCATATTCCTAAAAACAAATAAGATCGCATCATTCGATTATTGATCAAGTACATAAAAGTTAGAAAATTTTGTCCCCTCATCATGAGTGCTAAGTTGCTAAGATGCAAACCTTATTGGTGTGATTTGTGGAACTTGACATTGCAAGAAAAAATAGCAACTAAGTGGGGCTTATGATGGATGAAATTTGAAAACAATATGTTTTGGTGGGAGATTTTCATTTAAAAAGTGGTCACAAAGGTAATTTAGTGGTAAAATGATATAATGGTGCCCACAAAAACATGAACCATCAAAGATGTTTTACAAGAAAAATAAAGAATTAAAACGTGACTGAAAATGATTCTTACACTATATTACCATCAACAGCACCACAAAAGCTAGATCATGTTACATAAAGTAAAGATTTTAAAGTATCCCAAGCTTTTGAACCCTTTGTTGAATATTCCGATTATGAGAATGATTCTTGTCCAAGTCTAATTCTAGTAGTTTCTGCACCTTTTTTATAAATCAAAGTGTTCGCGTGTTTTTTTTTTTAAAAAAAGAAAGGTACGCTTTATTATACCACTAAACAACGCACATTTTGTCATTCTAATGCTATTAGGATCAGAAAGATTGCATATACTCCGTATCATTTAATCATTATCCAAGTAGTCCGTAATTTACATTCATCAGAAAATCACTCCAAAAAGAAGTCCATCCCAATAATTACTCTAGTCATAAATGACAATAACAATTACTCCGTAGTAATTTTATACCTCATGGTTATATAATATTTTACCAACACAAGGTCTTTTAATATCAATAAGCTTGTTGGTATTGTACTATGTTGGCACAATAATTATACGAATGTGAAGTTTAAAAATATCAACAGATAGTTGTTATCATAATTGATGACTACAGTATTTATAAATTCAGAAACTTGTTCTAAAGTATTTCACCTAACTCATACAAGTGGATGATATTAATACGATCAAGCAAGCAAGTCACTCAAATATAGTTATCTAGGAAATTGAAGATAAACTAGTCAATATTTTCTATTTCATGAAAATCAGAATTCATGTTCAACTAATCAGAAGATATTGTAAGCTTCCCTAGTTTTGACATCTGATCTGAACATGTATATATTATATGCATTCCAATTTCCAAGATTGACACATTCAAAAGAAACAAAATTTAATTTTGACAAGATAAAAAAATCAATGGATCTATTATTAAAATATCAAAGCCACTGCCATTCACACGTATTATTGGTTGCATGTCACTTTACAGTTCTCAAGATGCTAATTAAGAAGTAGAGTATTCAATAATTAACCTATTATGTACAATTAACCTATTATGTATAACCCTAGTATTCAATAATTAACCTATTATGTACAATTAACCTATTATTGGTTGCGTGTGAAGTAGAGTTCATTTGCACATTCAACCATCAAATGAGTAAAAATATTATTTTCTCATTTGTTGATTAAATGAGCAAATGATCTCGAGTACGGTACACCCGAGTATATATAATAAATTCTATTTAATGCTAGGTCATGAAAATTATTTGATTTATTTGTATAACTGTTATACATATCAATGGTAAATTAAACAACTTGTGAATTGACCTTGATCGTGTAATCTCATTTATTGTTACACTTGTAATATTTAAATCTCTTAGCCATCTTTCTACTCCACAATATTCGTCAAGTATTAAAAAAAAATCGATAAACTACCATCCTAGTTTATAGTAGTCCATTTTAAATATCAATGCAATAACTGGTTAATAATTGAGATTAGAAGGAGCACGCTAATATACGTCGATAAATAATCAATTACCTTATTATGGAAAAAGATCCTCTTGGTTTGAATATCTTTGAAAGATTGAACCCAAGAATTGCAGGGGAAATGAACAGGGCCACTTGCAAAACCTTCAATAGTAATACTCTCTAAGAAAAACTCTTGTTGATGATTGTTGGTAATTAAAATTGCTCCTGGTAAACCAAAATTTGAGTCCACCACAAATTCAGCCAAATAATTTACTCTTTCAGCCTTCAATTTTGATTTCTTTGACCAATCTTTCAACACTGCCTCCCCACTTTTCTTTGGTCCTCTTGCTCCTAATATGCCAAAATTAAACCATATTATAAAACACAAATTAATATTCAATAATATCATAAATTACGTAAGAGTATATTATTAGGTTCCTTAATCAATTTGCAATTTTGCATGCTTATCTTGTATATATATATAATATAATTATTTGCATGATATACCTACAATTATATAATAAGACTATAATACAATAGTGTTTTTGGAGTTATTAAAATAAGCGACTTTTGTACAAATACCTGTCATTAATGTTACCTAGTGAGGCATAAAAATATCATATGCACGTTCAATAATGTCATGCTACATTAAAATAACTAAACATTTTACCGTGATTCAGCCTAAAGAGGAAAGTGGCATGACTTTTTTTACCTTCACCATATGTACCCAAATGAACATACACATTCCGTACATTAAATCAAGTTTAAACAAGTATTTTAATCTTTAAGCATACTTTTACTGTCTAATAAAGCGCCACAAAGGACAATAACGTCAATGAAATCCTAATAATTCAATAATTGACAAACATTTTTATGTATATATAATTTTTTTACTATTTGAGACAACAATATAGACAAGATTTTAATATATTCAATGGTTAACACAATATGATTGAAAAAAGTGAAATGTTAAATGTCAACTATAATTGTCTCACAAAATAAGTCAAAATAGAACGACATTGAAACGAAGATGAAGTATGTAATCTAAAGCGCAAAGTCAATAATATACACCCGGGTTTAACATCCAAGAGTATGTTGTTCTTATTTTGATGATTGTGTTTCATTTAATCATCAAATGAAGAACATAAATTAACTTCGGGTTAGTTGGGTGTACGGTGCACCTAGTTGTATATAGCAAATTCCACAGTAATATAGACGGGATTTGTTACATTCAATAATTGTTCGAAATGATGAGCATAAAGTAAAATTAAAAAAGAAAGAAGGAATCAGAGAAACATACTTGGATCGATATCAGTGCTAACAATCTGAAGAACAACATTTCTGCCAATCATATCAGAAAAATTATCAAAATGTTTAACAAGAGCTTCCTTCAAATCTTCCTTAATCTTGTTGCGAACAGTAATAACAGCTCTAACCTTGATCTTAGCATCACCAGAATCATCACGATTATTGAAACCCAGATCAGACGGCTTAGATTTTTTGATCAAGTAATAATCTTCACTAATTGCAGCAACTGGTGTTACAGATAATCTTCTTCCCCTGAAATTTTTACCAGAAACAGAGCATCTTTTATTATTGTTGAGTTTTTGGGTTAATTTTGTGGAAGAAATATATGGGGATTTTTCAATAATTGATGAACATAATATTTCTTTTGTTCCTGCCATTTTTTGAAAGATTTGATTTGATTTTTTTTTTATTTTTTTTTGGGTGGGAGGATTTTTGATGAGGTGATCTTAGGAAAGAATGGGGGATGATGAAGTGGAGATGGTGGGAGTGTTTATATTGGAGAGAGAAAGAAAGAAAAAAGGGGTGAAATAAATTTATAGTCAATGAGAAGAAAGGTCTAGTCAACACGTTTGGTTTTGCAAGGGTAGTGTATGAAAATTATGTTTTGAATGAAAAATTGAAATAAGTTGGTAAATTTGATGTGATGTCATTGGGGACAATTAACGGTTGGGGGTTACCACTAAATTATTAGTATGAGTATAGTAAAGTAAATCAATTACTCCTAATTCCTCTCTTTTCTTTTTGATTGCATCAATTTTTTTTAAATGAAGTTTTAGATTAACTGTGTCATTTTTTATCACAAAATTTTATATGTGATTAGTCGTGTGGTTAGAGTTATTTATTTTGGGATTGCTCGGACAGTCAGAGTCTCAAAGATTACTTATTAATGGGTTAGTTGATGTGTTAAGGGTTACTCTCACACAAAAAGCGCATTAACCAACTGAGAACCCCTGAATAAGTAACTCCGGCAAAAATGCTCTAACCGACAGAGTAACTTCAAAATAAATGACCCTTTACCAAAATGAGTAGTCCCTGAATAAGTGTTCTCGATCACACGATGTGGTCAGCCACACGGAGAAAACATCCTTTCTTTTTAGTTTACAATCTCTCTATCTCTCTTAAAAAAAATAAAAAAAAAATAATAATTCTCTCTATCTCTCTCATCTCTAAAAATTGTCTAACAAACCGAAAATTGTAAAACAATGCAACTAAAAAAACGAAAAAAAAATATTAAGGATATAATGAGTGTACTTGTAAAAATGCCACATCCTATTACCATGATAATACAAGAAAAAATGAAACTCAAAGGTAAGTAAAAAAAAAAAAAACACTCAGTTAGCATGACATTTTTGTAACATAATTACTCTATTTGAATTTTATTACTCCGTATTTGGTCACAAAGTTTTTAAAGAAATAGTATAAAACATTAATCTAAGTGGTATAAGTTGAAAAAAAAAATTCTGAAAAAACAAAAGTGGGGAGGAGTAGGAATATATATAAAAAAATACTACCTCCGCTTCAAATCACTCGCAACTTTGAAATATTTTATATCTCACATATAATACCCTAAAGTTGCGAATAATTTGGACCGGAGGTAGTATATTGAAATATGATTTGATGGGACCACTAGTAGACAGGAAAATAGTAAAATATAGTCAATGAAATAGAGCAATAATTTAAATACGACGGCAAAAGTAATTAAAGTAGATCAATTAATTAAATACGATCGCAAAAGTAAAATGGAGCAAATAATCAAATACGAAGAGAGAACCTGACTCAACTCGTAGTTATTGAACTTTAAGATACAGTTAGGATCTTTTTAAATTTATTATATCATTTCATATTGTAAAACATTCGATTTTGATCTAAGTTATATACACTCAGTCATTCAAGTGCATATAAAATTAGGTACATCCAAAGATAGGGCTTGTTCTCTTACGTTGAAATTCAGTTCAGTTTAATTCAGTTCAGCTCCTAATTTCCTTCTCTTATAAAATATTCAGTTCAGTTCAGCTCAGTTCAGGTCAATTCAGTTCAGCTGAGTTCAGTCAATGAGAACAAACCCATAATTTAAGTTTTTGCTTATATAATCTATTTTTTATTTAAAATGAATAAAAAAAAAATACTCCGTATCAAAACAAAAATATTAAATGAATAGAAAAGATTGGAGTATTGGATATACATTGCACTCAAATATACATTTTGAATGTGTTAATTGGCCAAATATATAAAAGAAGAATAAAATTAAAATTTTGAATGTGTTAATTGGCCAAATATATAAAAGAAGAATAAAATAAAAAAATAAAAAAAAGGAAGTCAAACACTGCACAATAACATTCTTAAAAGACGTGGAAAATCTAAGTCCCATCAAATTGGCTGCGAAAATGATCATCACTATATTTGATCAGCTCTTTTTTTTTTTTTTTTTGGCTTAAACTTCTGCGAAACCACTAATAAATAAAGTGATACAAACTTATGGAATAGGTAGTCAAATAATTTGTACTATTATACGAGTAGTTGAATTGATAATTAAGAAAATATGAAGCACAAATAATCTTATTCTCTTAAATTACATAAACATAACGTTTTTCAAATTTAATTTGCGTTTATGTCCCCCACGGAACTTCTTTCTACGAGACGGTGCTTGGAATTGAAAGTGTTGCGCTCGTATGTAAAAAAAGCCACCTCCATCATTTGACAAGCCTTCTTTCTCATAGTGTACCCGACCTTTTGATTAGTAATTGTATCTTTTGATTAGTAATTGTTAAGTGAACATATATGTGTACGGTACACCGGCCTAGCTCTATGTGTATACTTGTTACTTGTAATATGAGTCTATGGTAGTAACTAATTAACAAGAGTTGGCTACTTGGCTCAAGCAAGGGGTAAGCAACTTAATATATGTAATTAAGTGACTCACCCGTCATAAGTCAGATAGATAACATGGGTTGGATCCGAAAATAGTTGGATCTAAGCTCTGGTGAATCGAATGGGCATCCTTTTAAAAAAAAAAAGCATATCATAATCGGTTCATCTAATAATTTGTATCAAACCATCTTGTCTTTTATTATGGTAAGTATTCTATGTTCATCTAAGCTATGTTATGATTTTAGCACGACTCTTTTGTTACAAAGTTATTTATGAAGTTATTTATTATATAGAAATAGACATGAGTGGTGATGAAATTTAAAAATAACTAGCCTTCTAGACCGTTGCAATGCACGGGTTTATTAGGTATACAATACAATGTTTTTTTTTTTGAAGGAAAATACAAAATTTTATTTTATCATATGTTGGAAAATAAATAGTTTATAAAGGAGAAAAAGGGGTGAAAATTGAATGTAATTGTAGACGATATTAAGTTGGGAAAGTGAACCAAACAACATCTAATAAAGCTAGGGTTTTTTTTTTTAATAATATGAGAAAGGGGATAAAATAAAAATAGATGAGGTGACATGTGACATTAGTGAAAAATAAAGTTTACACGTGGCATAATTGGCATGATGGTTTGTGTATTTAAATACTAACTAATAAAGTATAGAGTCTACATTGTTTCTAAAAGTTTGACTCACTATTTGTTTTGAATTTCGATTCACTTTTAATTTTTTGTATTTTAGACAAACTTCTTTCTTACACACCTCTCTTATTTAAAAAAAATATATATATTTATAGTGAGTCAGTAAACTTTATAAACTGAAGGAACCATGTTTAATGAGTCATTATGTCAGAGTTTAGCTCGACTTAGCTCGTTGTTTCATCTCTAAACTAGGTGACATAACAAATTAACAATAGGTAGGAAGATGAACCAAATTAAAATGCATTTTTCAACACAAATTATAGATAGTAAATTGAAGTCGTTAAAAACTTTAATTATTAGTTGTTGGTCGAATTCCACTTTATAAGTTCAAAGAATCAAATTAAAGAATAATATAAAAAGTACTCCGTAACTTTTAGGTAAAAAAAGAGTGATTGATTTTTTTTTTTTTTTTTTTTTATGAGAAAGTCACTGGTGTTATTTGAAAAGATTATGGTTAGCAACTCAACAATTTTACTATTTCATTAATGGGAAATTAAATTTTATACTGATATTTTGTTTGGGACAAGGAAGCAAGGAGAAGGAAGAGAGAAATAGGTCATAAATTGCGATCATTAGGTTGACTAAGACGTAAAAAATTGTTGGATTAGAAAAGTCAATGCATGTGTCATAAGAGCAATTCACTATTTGATAATTAGCCAAATTGCTGTCACCGACCACAAAAATGAGAGAATGCCTCTAAACCGGGGAAAAAGGCTAAGTCCTTGCATCTCGCCTTTTGTTGTATGTACACATTTTCACCGGCCTCTTTGTTTTCCTCCATTACCAACTCTATGGTCTCCTTAATTTATACATATATGATTTGTAAAGTTAAGAAATTAATTTATAACATATATGCTTTGTAATATGAGAACAAAGATAATAGTAAAATGCTCGTTCTATTGCCACTCTTTACCAATTAAATAATATTATCTTTGATTCTAATCGAACTTCAAGAGGTACAACTGCTCTTAAGTTGGCTTATAACATTTAGCTATAAAGTATAGAACAAAGTTATTTTATGTTCCTTTTAACGAATTCCAAAGCACACATTTTAGCGTCATTATCTTTGACAACACATTACAAAAATATATAATAAAAAAAATTATACTTTAGAATTATACCTTGACACAAATCTAACCAGATCTCACTTGTTTGTCTTAACTGATTAGGAACGTGAACACATGATATGCTTTTGCTCATAGCTTGTTGGAACATCATTAGCTAAATTAAACAACCTACACTACAAGAAAATAACCTTTTCGTAGCGATTATTTTAACCTTTAGTATCGATTGTAATTGCAACAAAAAGCTTTCCCAACAAATGGTCATTTGATACAATATCCCCCGTTGCCTTAGCCTTTCGTAGTGGTTTTCAATATCGCTAGGGTTAAAAAAAACATGCGTATGATCTTTACAAGATTCGAACATGCAACCTCAAACTCTTATATTAAATGTTTCACCAATAAGCTATGACATAGTTTATATATTCTTTGTCAAACAATATTTATATATCTAGTGTTGAAAAGGCTTTTCGTATCGATTTTTAGGATTTAGTGGCGATTGTAAATGATACGATTTCTCAAAATTATATAAATGTGTAAAAATAGTGTGGATATGTATTATTATGCTTTCCGTATCGATTTTATATGGGAAAACCATGACAATTGTAAAAATGATACGACATCCTTAATTATTTCACAAACATACTTGCATATTGTAGCGAATGAACAATCGCTACGAAAAGTGATTTTTCTTGTAGTGCTACATACTCTGTTAAGTAATATGTATTGTAGTATCAATCAAATGTAGTATTATGGTCTTATAGATGTGGATGATCTACTAGTTTTAGTTAGTTAAAGTCTTAAGAGGTGATATTCAAGACCTAAGATAAAATCTTGTCTATATCACTTGCCTTTGCGGCTCTTTTTACACCAAAAAAATTTTGTATCATATCCACAGATTATGTACTCATACATTGAGCAAAAATAAATACTACGTATTATGCTAAGCTTTTGGTTGAGGCCTAGGATCGGTTTATATACTCTATCACCCAACCCTTAAATTCCACTTTGAAATGAGGGATGTATGATATTAGAACCCGTGACTTTTGTATCACACTATCTTTGAAACTATTTCATTAGATCATCTCAACCAAAAAATTAAGCTGATAGTTGAAGGCCAATATCGATATATATACTCTATCAATGTTGAATAGAATTAAAGTCACTAAAAT